ACAGCACACAGGCTGTGACAATGACCAAGGGGAGGTTGTTCTTGACAACATCCAGGTGGGTGGTGAGGCAGCACCAGTGGCCCTTCAGGCAGTCAAAGGTGTACCTGATGAGGGTGTGGGTCTGGCCCAGGCAGCAATTAAAGTGGGCCCGGCAGGGGATCAGGTGGCTAGTGTAGGGTCGTATCAGCCAGGGCAGGAGCAGGTAAACAGGGACCTCCGTGAAGAGGGATGGGACCAGGACGATGCCCAGCTGCAGGTCCAGCACCCCTGGCATGAAGTGCCCACTCTCCACCACTGCTTCCAGGCCAGACTTCTGAAATATGCAGGTGTCATGCGAACTGCCTGCCCAGCTGATGTTCACATGGATGAATGGGTTACAGTGGCCTGCAGGACCACAGAGTGAAATCCCCTGTGGCTGTAATACGGGTGTTCTCCATGGGATGGACAGGTGACTGAGATGTGGGTCCCATCCAGGGCCCCGATACACTGGGGGAATCCCAGTGCACAGACCCCTGCCACCACCACCAGGGGGTTGTGGACACAGAGCACAGTGTGCCCCAGCATGTCTGGAGAGCCCTGCACACCTCCAGGATGGCTTCCCCGGTGGTGACCTTTCCCATACCGAACAGGTGTCTGACTTACCGGAGGCTAGTGAGCATGGCCAACTCCAGCAATGCAAAGGCCAGCTGGGTGTCAGTGGGGATGGCCAGGTCCATGCCGGTGTCCTGCCACTCCAGGTGGGGCTGAAACTTCTGGAGCAGGTCCCAGAAGACAGCCCAGGTCATGTGGAAACCATCCAGCCTCTGCTCATCGCCCCAGGTGTGCTGGACTTGGTGCAGCCACCAGTGCTGGCTGGCGTGGCAGGCCCAGAGGTGGGGGGGCTCAGGAGGGTGACAGCAGCCCCACTGGTGGCATCCTGAAGTCCCTCATCGGTGTCTCTGGAGGCAGCAGCTGTGCAGTGGAAGTGATGGCCCTGGGACAGCATGCTGCAGCCAGGCAGATGGTTGCTAGGTGTGAGGGAGCTGGGTGTGGCGAGACAGTGGTAGGCCAAGTGGCAGTTGGCACGGTGAGCCAGCAGGGCAGTCATGGTGGCCAGCACAAGTATGGGGCACTGGTCATCGCTGCCAGGGGAAGGGGCTGGAGCAGCCATAGCACAGGGAGGCTGAGGAGAAAGCTGCTGCATGCTGCCCCTGCACTTGGCATGTTGCTCCTGGGCAAGGAAGAGGCTGGTCAGACAGCAGAGAGTGGAGCTGGCTTTTAAAGAGGGATGCCAGATGTTGGCAGCTGCAGCCGGAGCCTAGTGCTCACCTCAGTGGCTGCAGGGACCTATTGCCAGGCTCCAGGGAACCAGGAGCAAATTTGTTCCCCAATCTCCTCATGTGTAGACACCTACCCAAAAACACTTACTCTGGCTTAGCTTACACCACAGTAAATTTGGGGCGGTGTAAATGCATGGGTAGACGCACCCATTGTTAGTTATTGTAAATGTCTATTACATTGTAAAATGTAATGGTTGCAGTAAATTTGAATCACCAACAAAACTGGAAGTTTTCTTATTTTTTTTTCTTTACATAGTTCTGCCAAGATTGGAATATTTCACAGATCAAAACATGCCCAAAAATCACTTTTGTCATTCCAATATATGTTCAACACTGGGTGCATCTACATGTGATGCTACATCACCATAGCAACATGCTACGGCAACAGAATGTCGGCAGGCACAAACCGTGATGCTGCAGCTATGTTGCCAGAGCAACATGCTCCCTCAGTATAGTGTGTTGCTACAACGACATAGCGGCTAAGAATAACTGTGTGCTGCCAGCACAGTATGGTCTGTTACTGTGCCATCATTTAGTACTTCCAAAAGAGTGAACAGCATGATGCAACATTTGGACATATCTAAAATGATTTACTATAGCTGCCAACATGGACACAGACATGGATGGTCACTAAGATAATACAACGGCATAATTTTTTAAAATTCTGGGATCTTTTTTGTCCCCACAAACACTACAACATAAGGAAAGCTTTGAACTAAGTAAGTTTGCTGCTCTCTCCTGACTCCATGCCTCAGTTTACCACTTGATGACACAGCTGCTGATGTTTCTTTGATTCCACTGTTCCTAAAGCACTATCATGACTGTAAACTGTTCCTTCTACTTTGCAATAGCAGCTTCACAGGAGATGAGACCTAGCAGCAGCAAGCTCACAGACATCTTTTGATATGAGGCTTTGCACATGTGAATTCAGATATCTGAAAAGGTTCATAAGAATTTGCTCATTTCATAAAATTGGACACTTCATAATTTCTACACTGACAATTGTTGTTCATGGTTAAACAGTTAAAATACCAGAGAGAACAATCTGTAAGGGTTTAGATATTAGCTCCATGCAATAATGTATCTCTTTTGCAAAACAAATATTTTGCTGCCTCTAAAATCAAATGGCCTTTTTAACAGAAATCAGTAGAAACCTGAAGTGAAGCTGCAAAATGTTTTCCTTTTCATGTTACATTTCCCCCACCTTGATCTTGCTTCAAATTCACTGTTTTAGAAGGTAAAGAAGATTAGAACAATTTAAAATGCATAACTCGCTTTTATTTGGCTGGTAATGAGGGGTGTGGGTGGGAAGAGAGAAAGAGAGGTGTATATAGAAACGGGACCTATAACTCAAATGCTCTCTGAACCCTGGCATTTGTGTAACAGTCCAGATGACTTATGTGACAGTACATACAGTTACATGGTTCTTGGTGACACTTGCTGGGGAGGCAATGGACAAAAAGATCTCAAAAATTGGAACATTGCCTAATGTACTGTGACCAATATCTAATCTGTCATTTGAATCCTGAGCCACAACTGTTCTCAGTTCAGTTTTGAACATGCATCATCTTTCTTTGTATAGCTACATAAAGCTACAGAAGCACTCAAAAGAAGGCCCATGCTAATGAGATCTAGATGCAGCTATGATTTTTATTACTTGCTTCTTAGAAAGTTACATTAAATGTCAACGTCAGCCCCAGATCAGCTCTGCAATGCTCTTATTCTAAGTCTGTTCAGATGAATGATTTGTTGTGTGCTTGGTTTTCATGGCCACCATTTCATAGTGCAATTTGTCTTGGACAAACCACTGACACTGAACAATATGCTGAAGAACCTTGATGCTGTTTTTCTTTTCACAGCTGTTATGGAATATGCTTCAAATACATGCATGGTGGAAGATGAATAGGGAGAAAGTCAAGGTATGGGCACGTAAACAAGTTACCTCAAGGCATGAAAGGGTGTGAGTTTTATCAACTACTCCATGATAACTGTTCATGTGCTTTCTTTTACTTAGGGTAAATGCAAGGTAACTTACTATTATTGTCCCCAAGGTTCTACAGCAAGATGATTCAGCTAAGCATGCAGCACGTCTATTCAGGGTACCTGTTATTCACACTATCAGACAGGTGATCAGACTGGCTGACAGCAGGGATAGTTCAGGGTTAAATCTAAATCCAAAGTGGATTGCTATTTTACTCTTTTTATACTTTAAAAGTACACATAAAGCCTGTATCATTGTTCACACATGATCAATCACACTTGGTTCAATTGACCTTACAATTTGCTGATAAATGAATTTTTTTAATAACAGTTACATATCTTCCCAGATATGTACCAGGTTTTGATTGTACTGTCCTACATGCTTTTCTTATCTATTATGGGAGGTTGTACTGATCCTTACATCCCAAGGGTCTTGATGAGATTCCAAATGTTCCAATGCACTCTAGTGCAAGGGTTGTCAACCGGGGGTACGCGTACACCTGGGGATACTTGGAAAGGTGCTAGGGGCCAGGGAGGGAGGCGGGAAGAGGGGCAGCAGCTCCCCTCTGCACAGCCGCCAGCCAGATGCGCAGCAGGGGGAGCTTGCATGCAGCAGCTGCCACCGCCATCCACCACCCCGTGTCACTGCATGCAAGCCTCCCACTTCACGTCCGGCCACCACCCCTCCTCCCTGCTCTGTGTCCAGCCACCACCATCAGAAGGGGTATACTCTTTAAAGGTTGAAAACCCCGGCTCTAATGCTTTCCAAAGAACTTTAGACTTACAGAATTTAACTCTCACTGCTCTTGGCCTGTCTTATGGCCTACACTTATTCAATGAAATTGAAGGTACTCTGCTGGGAAGTAAATGTGGTTTCAACCCCCTTAAACTGAGTAGAGCTTACTGGGCAAAAGATACTGAGTTAAGAAAAAGTAACCAGTAGCTTACTGGGTCCTCCTGGTTCCCCTTCCCCATGGTAGAAACACTGTCATATTTCTGATTGAGATACAGGAGTTCAGACACTTTTGTGAAAAGTATTGCCTGTCAGCAACTCTCTAATCAGTACTTGCGTGTTCTGGCAATACAATGTACTTTCAGAGCATGACAGAACTATCTGCTTCCATGGATTGAATAGAATTGTTCTTCTGGAGTGAGATGCTTTGCTTTTGGATTTAAGGTTTAGCAGTTAATTTTTTTAAACCTACATTTGAGGCCATTTTAACTGATGGTCCCACTTTGAAAGGGCTTCTCTCAAAGCAACTTGGGACTATGACTTACATTTTTGACTGGTTCTGACTAGTTTGACTGGCTCTCTTTCTTTTTCTTCTCCAGAATCAGCTCACTCAATGTATTCTTTTTCTTTTTATTCCTTTTCACTAGATACGGAGATTGTCTCATTATCCTCTTTTTCATTCCATAAAAATATGTTGCCATGTTGCTGTTTCATAGCAAAGAAAGGGGCCATTTCTGCTTCCACAAAAGCCAATGGAAAAACTCCCACTGACATCACAAGAGCAATTCGTCTGGATTCCTAACTTGTTACCATATTCTGCCATTTTTCAATCTTGCATCTGCTGCCTCTCCACTTGCTCAAGTGGAAACACTGATTTTACCTAAAGGCATTCAAGCTTAATTTTTCCTTTGAAAACAACAAGCACACCCTATTGGTTTACTTTTAAAATATAGTATTACAATTCTTACCATCCATGCTGTGACAAAATCTCCCATCCAAGTTCCCACTGCTGCTACCTTCATAAAACTTTCATTCCTGATGCCCATGAAGTCTGTTATAATATATGTTCTGTGAAAACAAAACATAGGTTGAAGGTTACATACATTCATTTAATGGAGTTACAATTTGCTTTAGTGAGAGAAATAGGATTAACTGTGAAAGTGTCAAGCTTTTGTACAATCACATGTTCTGTCAGATTTAAAGTCTTGATGGAGCACTAAACCTACGTGGTCAATTCCAATTAGAAATGGAAAAGTGAATCTAACTCTATAACTATTTCTCCTTTTTTCCTTTCGTTCTTTTTTCCTTCCGTTCTTTCTCTCTCTTTCTCTCTTTCTTGCTTTCTCTCTTCCTTGCTTTGTAACTAAAAGAGTGACACAAACTTCTGGATAATATAACTAAAATTTTAAACTTTTAATCTCTCCTTAAATTAAAAAAAAAACTATTTGGATAATTGGAGTTCTCAAATAAAATAAGACCTTTAGCCACTTTAGCCAACTATAAAAATAGTTGAACCACTTGATTTTTGACTTCATGAATCATGCTATCACGTGTCTTTTTATACAATAGCACAAAGGCTGTTGTAGAACTGCCTCATATTCTTGTTAGATTTCAGAATCTTCATGGACATACTTTACCTAAAAGCCAAAGGAAATATATATTCATACATATTGGACTATCTTCAGACAGAACTTGAGAGGTGAAAATGCAAACAAGAAAAAAACTCCACCACCCAACCCTACTCATTCTGCTCAAATATTGGATCAAAATAACCATGGCCATTTTGCTTAAATAGTGGAGAAGACAGGGTTTCTGACATCATATCACAGTCTGCCATTCATGTAAGGCTCTGTACAGTGGGAAAAGCCAGGAAGCACATTTTCCCATGCTAAATTACAATGTGCTTTCTTGAGCACACCATGCTGTCTGATCACTCCCATTATTAATAGGTTTTTTGTTAATTTTTAAAGAAAACATTATTCTCATTAATTCATATAAACACCAACAGTAAATCACAGTGACTATTACACTGTATCTTTTCAAGTAAATATGTACAGGCTTTTTGAGACATAGCTTATACAAATGTAATTCATGTTCGGAGATGTGGATGACTGACCAAATTGACTGTAACAATTTATTGGGAAATTGCATAATCTGTTATGCAAATTTTAATGATCTAAACACATATTATGTACAAAGTCCTGTAGTATCTAGGGGTGGAATTCTATTAATCTTTGCACATCTAAGTGGCAGTTCTTGAGTCTAGCAAGTGGCATTTGGCACTTATGCACAGGTAGAGATTCTGTTGCCTGTTACCCTGCACAGTGCACACATACATAATTACATACACGTATATCTGAGTGCAAGTCCCATAAAGGAGGAGGAAGGCAATGCCCATGTTTTAGGCCTAATAGCTAGGTGATCTAAACACTCAAACAGGAAGTTTAAGACCTGGGTTCTAGTGCATCATCTCCTTCCCATGGCCCCCTGCCCCAGTTAGAGGGGGGATTGAATTTGTGTATTATTTTTTCCAGTAAGGAGCTTTAACTACCATGTAAGAAGTAAGGCATTATCTGAGCCCTCTGCATGTTTTTGGAAATTGAGTTGCTTCCCCTTGTATTTAATAGTCATTTGAAAAATGAATGAAAGGCAGTGCAGTGGAGAAGTTTTGTCCTCATTGGGCATGTCTACACAAGTTGCTTTACTGAGCCTTAGCCTAATTTACCCTGTAGTATGGGTGCATGTCTACATGTGTGCACCCTCACTGTGCAGTTAAAGGGGCTAATAGCAACCACATTTGATACCTGCAAGTACAGGTATCAAATTTAGATGTGATTAGTTAAAAGGCAGCAATGCATGTGTAGATACGACCTAGCACTAACCCTAGTGCCAGCTCTTCTCAGCCACTGGGCAGACAAGAATAGGATGGGGTTCACTGTAAACAAATGCAGGGTGCTGCACCTTGGGGGAAGGAATCCACAGCATACATACAGGCTGGGGAGTTCCCCTCTTGAAAGCACAGAAGTGAAAAGGGAGCTTGGAGTCATTATTGACTCCAAGATGAACATGAGCTGCCAATGCCAGACCGCAGCCAGAAAGGCCAGCCATACCTTGTCATGCATCCAAAGTTGCATCTCAAGCTGGTCTAGAGAGGTGATACCCCTCCTCTATGCGACTTTGGTCAGGCCGCAGTTGGAGTACTGCATCCAGTACTGGGTGCCGCACTTCAAAAGGGATGTGGCCAGCCTGAAGAGGGTTCAGAGGAGAGCTACCTGCTTGGTGAGAGGGTAGCAGGACAGGCCCTATGAGGAGAGACTGAGGGACCTGAACCTGTTCAGCCTCAGCAAGAGGAGGTTGAGGGAGGACCTGGTGGCTGCCTACAAACTCATCAGGGGAGATCAACAGCAACTAGGTACAGCCCTTTTCTCCCCAGCACCACCTGAGGTGACAAGGAACAATGGTAATAAGCTGATGGAGAATACGTTTAGGTTAGAGATCAAATGGCAATATTTTACAGTTAGGGTGGCCAAAATCTAGAACCAACTTCCCAGGGAAGTGGTCCTTGCCCCTACCTTGGGCAAATTCAAGAGAAGGTTGGATGATCACCTGTCTGGGGTCTTGTGAACCCAGCATTCATTTCTGCCTGTGGCAGGGGGTCAGGCTGGATGATCTGTTCAGGTCCCTCCTGACCCTAGCTACTATGATACTATGATGATACTACGGGGCTACCCTGAGCCCAGCCCCAGGGCTCTCTGGCAGCCCCTAGTTGCAGGCTATAAAAGGGGCTGCAGGCCCTGTGTGCCGCCCTGGACAGGACCCAGGCTGCTTCTGCCAGTCCTGTCCCCTAGCCAGAGCTGCTGCTTGGCCACAGGTGAGTACTGTAAAGGGCTACAGCCTGCTGCACCTCCTGCCCAGCGCAGATCTCCCCAGGGCTGCTGCCTGGTTGTATCTGGCAGCAGGGCCAACACCTGCTTCCTGCTGCTGTTCACCCCCAGCAGTGTCTCCTGTCTTTGCAGGTGGGCGGAGGATGTTGCTCGGGAGATCACCCAGGAGGAGGTGCAGGACCAGGTGCAGCTGGGGCAGTGGGCACGGATGAAGGCCCTAGACTGAAAGCACATTGAGCTGCTCTGGCAGCATGTGGCTCTCCAGATCCAGGCAGTAGAGGCTGCAGATGCCGACCGCTGGACCCTGGACACTCTCCTGGGCCTGGCAGTTGTGTCCATGGCCCCCACTGCCTGACCCCTGTCCATCACCCAGCAAGGCCCCTGAGTTCTGCCCATCCACCTGGCCCTGGGAAGAGGTCCTCAGGCGTCTCCTGCCCACTGGAGCCCCAAGCCTGCCCTGCATCCCCAGTCAGGCATGGCACCACAAGGGGACGCTGGCCCTGGACTCAGGCCGGCAGAGGGGGGAGCCTCATGGCCATTTAAGGGTGCTGTTTGGAAATCACCCATGGATGAGCCTGCTGCCTGCCATGTTCACTGCAGCCCCCCAGACCCACAGGGGGACTGGCCAAGGCCAGGGTGCTGGAAGCTTGTCCCTGGGCTCTGCCTCCTAGGTGCCCCTTCCCATAGCCCCTCAGTCCAGGACTCAGAGTCTGAGACTGTTGTAAATAGTTTTCACTTTGGGAAGAGGGTTTTTTATTATTGGTGGGTGGGGCGGGTGGTAGAGGGGCTCTGTGTTGGGGAGGGAGGTGTGAGGGGCTCTGTTGTGAGGGGGAAAAGAAGGTGCTCAGTGTTTCGGAGAGAGAGGGGAGAGGGGGGAGTTATAAGGGTGGGTGTTGTGAGGGGAATAAAGTTTTTTCTTTTAACCATGTTCCTGGCCTCAGAGTGGCGCTAGGGGTGAGGAGAGGGTAAGAGATGTGTGGTGGTAGGGCAAGCAGGCTGGAGCAGGGAGTGCATTAGCTTAATGCACAGTAAATTTAGACACTACTAACTGCACATGTAGATGCAACCATTGATAGCAAGGCCCCAAGCTACAATACAGGTCTCATTCTCTTCTAGGGTAACAGCAGCTATGTCACCAAACCACACATACTCTAGCTTGCTTACATATTTCTTCCTGGCTCCACAGATCTTCTAGGGAATCTTTGGTCCCTGGTTCAATTCGGCAGAGATTCGGCCTGATTCGGTGGCCAAATCTCTGAATCAAATCTTTAATCTTTAATCTCTCTGAACCTTTAATCTCTCTGAATTGAATCTCTTTAATCTTTAATCTCTGAATCTCTTTAATCTTTAATCTCTCTGAACCTTTAATTTCTCTGAATTGAATTGGAACCCTCCAAATCAACTCAGAGAGATTTGGAAAGATTCAGCAATTTGGACATAGACACAGAGTTTTTTCTACATACCTGTAGGTAGTAGGCGGCTCATGAATGCTGTGATGCTGGGGCACATGGAGTGTCCCACAGAAGTGTGGGGGGCTCCCCAGCACACTTGGCAGCAGATCCAGAAGTAGACCAGAAGCACTTCCAGTCCACTTCTGGGTCTGCTAGAGAGTGTGCGGGCCCCCCCCCGGCTCAGTGACTGGTGCTTCCTGGGTCCGAGGGGGTACCCCCGCAGATGGTCGCCAAGCCAGGGAGGTGCAGGGGGGCCCCCCTGTGCACTCCCCAGTGGACCTGGAAGTGGACCAAAAGTACTTCCGGTCCACTTCTGGGTTTACCACCCAGCACGCGGGGACCCCCCTGTGCTTCTGTGGGACACTCCATCAGCCCCAACATTGCAGCATTCACGAGCTGCCTGATACCTTGAGGTATGCAGAAAAAACATTTAAAGTTGTGTCTATGTCCAAATCACTGATTCTCTGCATCAGCATCAAATCTTCAGATGTGGATTCGGCCAAATCAAGTCAGGGACAGTGATCTAAATCAATTAATCGAATCACTGTCCCTGAACAGGGCCAAAGCCGAATCTAATAGGGCCTGCTTCGCACACCCCTAATATCTTCCCATCTTGGCTACCTAGGGGACCAGCTTCAAAAGGCATGCTGGAGAATGATTTCGATAATGTCTGACCTGTGGTATGATGGTTATCATTCTGTCCTGGGAAGCTGGAGATACAGGTTCATTGAGT